AGATTGAATTCAAATGACATCTAACTTTGTTATTTCTAGAGCTTCAAACATAGCCGTATATGTCAATTTCTGTACATGTCCAAAATATGGCCTACTTTTAGGGACAAGTGCACACCAACGACACATGACCCCAACCTCCACAAGTATTCATTTGATACACAGTACATATATGTACTTCCCAGCAAAGATTGAATTCAAATGACATCCCACTTTGCTATTTCTAGAGCTTCAAACATAGGCGTATATGTCAATTTCTGTACATGTCCAAAATATGGCCTACTTTGAGGGACAAGTGCACACCAACGACACAAGACTCCAACCTCCACAAGTATTCATTTAATTAGACAAGACATAGTGTTACTTTGGGCAAAAGAATTTATCAGATTGCTTTCTTTCTTTTGTAGATATAGTATCCTGAACATGGCTGAAAATCATATTTTCCCTCAAATTCAAAATTTGACCTACTTCTAAGGACAACCACGTGACAACCAAAGAAGTGCCCAAAGTTTGCAACCATGCATTTTATAGCACATATGTTTATGTATCTATGATTCAAATTCGAAGCAAAAAAAATCACCATCTTTGGACTTACAGCACTTCGAAGTTGGGCAGAAATAACGCTTTTTCATCAGCCTCAAACACTGTATTGTGTTAGGGTTGCCCAGGTCCTTCAAACGAACTTCTCGAAAATTTCAAAGCTATTCTAGAATAGCGGATAAGTTGGTCTTTTAAGCCCATACTTTGTTTTTCCATAATATTAAAGCACTTGCTCGTAATCGTGCCTTAAACTATGCCAAATTTCATGTTTTTCACATGTCTAAATCAGGGAAAATGGCCCCGAAACTTGTTTGGCCCGTTACCATGGCAACGATCGGTGCTGACCGGAAAGAAAGCTATTTTGAGGGGTTGTGGGCCAAGTACTATCACTGTGCAAAGTTTGAGCCAAATCGATTTTCTGACCCCTGCCACCATTGTTTGATCCTTACAGACATTCGCTCTTAAAACCCCTACAGTCGGATATCTACAAATCTCACGTTCTAAGACCATGCGTACTGTTTTGCTATCACTGGTACTGCTTGTTTAACAGATAGGTCATATGTGGACAATGGGACTGTTCTAAAACGTTTTGTTCTTATTCTGAGGGTGGTCAGTAGAAGTCTCTGTCTGTGTCTCTGACGGAAATGTCACCTCTACATTTGACAACTTTAACAGCGTCTCTCACTCCAGAAATTTCAGCAAAATACTAGTAGAAGAAAAAAGCAGTTATACCTATTTGGCAAATGAAGTACTTCGCATTGTAACACCTGTCATCGTCCCATCGGAAGTCTTTAGCTGCCCATAGCTGCCCACAGTCCTGGATACCTTCAGCGTTGTTGGGTTCTCCGGGCGCCCATTTGGTGAAACCGCCATCATTCAGCGGTTCTCCATCGGCCCAGGTCCAACTGTTCTCAACCTACATAATAAAGTGAGCATGTCATCAGTCAGTAAGATCGACACTATAATTTATTAATACGAAACAGCTTTGTGCATCATGACATCGATCGCGTTAAAGGACATGAAATGTTTTAAAAACAACTTACTTCAACAAAGATTTCACTGTTGGTTGGGTGTACCTTATGATTCATACGATCTCTACGAATAGCTAAATAGCAAGCAAGTACAAAACAAAAAATGCAATGCATCAAGGGAATTCGCGTAGCGTTACCCTGCACAATCGCAGTACGCCTGATTTTTCACGGTTTTCGCGGGATGTTTGGTCAACGTTGCATCAGGATTTTGCCTGTTGCAGAAGACACTTTTTTCCGACATAACATTTGCAAACTACAGACGGGATGTTAAACTTATATACGCGAATACGACCTTTTATGAGACATTCTGCAAAATGCTTGCACAATACATTGCGGTTTTCGTGCAGGTGCAGTACGTTCTGCCGACGTGCTTACAATCGCCTGGACTTAGTATTGTGTGACGGTAACATATTACCCTTTGTTGTAACACTTACCGCTTTGTCATTGAGCCCAATCCAGTAGTCTTTGTTCACGTCAGCGTCTCGAATCATGCCTAGAAGGAAGTTGTACACGGCCTCTGTCTTGATGACCGCAAGATGGCCGCCGTCTGCAGCACACGTCTTCTTGGCAGCGTCGTAGGTCTTGGACTCGGTGTATATCTTGTACTGCGTATCACCTCGCCGTGTATACGTCATGTCGCCTGTCGTATACAAAAATATAACGGCATTATTTCCTTGCATTTTATTTTGAGAAACGTACATACACGTAATGATTATTTAGCGTAAACATGCAAACAAGTGACACAGCAAGAATCAATAGGCATGCAGCTTTCCTCTATTCTTCTTGCTGATTGGCTGCTGGGATATAATTGGGCTAACTCCATGAACAGCTAGCTGCACCAATCCATACCATATTGAAAGTAGGTACTGCGTTGGAGTGTTTTGGTAGGTATGTCAAACTTTCTTGCTCAAGCATTGGAATGTGGGGCATAAACGCTTTTTTTATATTGAAAAGCAACAATTTGCATTATGCAAATAAAAATCGTAATCAATCATGTAAGGGATAGCTATCCAATTCGTAGTTATATGTCACTTCATTCTATAGTTATATCGATGTAAAACATTGTTTTCTCCTTCTTGTATTCTCCTTCTTTCCCTGCCATGTCGTAAAATGTGAAGCCATGCTGAATTTGCTTTCTAGTTGATGATAACTTACCTGAACCCTCTGACTCGCCAGACCCCTCAGCATCTTCATCAAGGGGAACTGAAGAATATATAGAACAGCATTGGTCTGGGTTAACTTTAACTTTAACTCTAAACTTGTAGAATCGTTAAAGCAAACTTCGTAAAGTGCACCCAAAATGAACGTATAATTCAATCATAGATTATGTTTGCAACATCACGAGCGACAGAGCTCCAAAGAACCAAGTATGAGTTATATAACAGAAATAATAACATTTAGAGCAAGATACGTTGACTGCTGTTATTGAAAACGTTCGAACCCGTAACGATCTTTGCCCGCATAGAGATGTGCCCGTACCGCAACTTCGCGGATTTTGAGGAAGCGCGCAGTGATAGGGTCAACGAAGACGTTTTCGACGTAAAAACGTAGGCGTAAAAACTACCGGGAAACCTAAGTTAAACTTGGCGGCGGGAATCGTCTACAGGCCCGAAGATAGCCTGCCCAAAACACGATAGTACTGGACACTAAGCTATGACCAATTCTGTTACAAATCTGTTTGTAATTTACCTGTTGTGCAGTAAGCAGCGTGACAAATCGTCGGTTTCGGCAACTTGTAGACGTAATAGCCTGCCGGACACGCCATGACGTGGATTGTCCATGACCAATGACATTCTTCCCCTTCCCAAAACGCGCACGCAGTTCGCCTAACCGCACCCTGGATGCTGGTTGGATGCTCTCCTTTCATCCAGACGGGAGCGTGTGTACCGCAACGATTTGTCTCCAGGGGGCGCTTTGTTGGCATCATGGTGCCTCCTGCTCCCACGAAGCGGTACCACTGGTCGTGCTTTAGGGAGGTTCTCT